ATTTGTTTTTTCTTTTCAATATCAGCGATTGTAGTAGTCCCACTTTCGAATATTCTCATGTGATGGGATGCAGTGGATCAAGATCAAATTCACCAGCGGACTCAGACACGAGTGGTATAAGTAGTGTGGATGGGTCTCTATCCGATATAATGGTATTTTTTAAAATTATAATATTAATTATATAAGTTCGTCAAGATTAGAGAAAAAAAATTATTTCATTTTAGAACTGTTTATCGTTAAACTCATCATCACACGAATGTTACCCTCAGTCTCTGGGTTCGTTGATGTCACCGGAAGTGGATTTATGTACGAACAATAGAGCAGCCGCATTCCAACGAATGGCAGTGAAAAAGTATTTATCTTCATCCCATCAAAATTCATCGTCGACGCATCATCATCACTCACATGGACATAATCGCAGTCATCACTACGGATCGAATCAAAATGGCAATTTCCTGAATTCCTTTTTATCACACGAGAAAAATTGTTGTACTACTGGAAATCATATGGCTTTAAATTCACCTCCTATAAATATTTTAGATCCACAAATGTCACTTGAACGTGTAGCACGTTTTCATCGAAGTGCTGCTGGTATAATTCAATTATTAAGATATGATATGCAATTAAAGAATATGCTAGCAATATTTAAAGAATTATTATTCTAGCACTTTGTGATCCAACATGTACTTGGAGCGGTATATTACCACAACGTACTCAAAGACCATCGGGTTATTCATCTAAAGTATTTCTTGGTGGTGTACCTTGGGATATTACAGAATCTCTTTTAATTGCCACTTTTAAGCAGTTTGGTCAAATAAGAGTAGAATGGCCCGGAAAGGATCAATCCGCTACACAGCCAAAGGGATATGTATATATTATATTTGAATCTGAAAAACAGGTAGTTAAATATTTTTTATTCTTTTTAAATTTATTCTTTTGTAACGAGAAAGAATATATATTGTTTAAGGTAAGAACTTTGTTAGCATGTTGTACACATGATTTTACCAATGGTGGGAGTTGGTATTACAAAATATCGTCTAAACGTATGAAAGCAAAAGAGGTATGCACCATTCTTTAATTAATTAAATTACTTTATGAAATTTAAGTAAATGTATTGTTTTTTTATAATATTATAATTATAATACTTTTATAACATAGGTACAAGTAATACCTTGGATTCTTGAAGACAGTAATTATGTAAAATCATCATCACAAAAACTTGATCCTCACAAAACAGTATTTGTCGGCGCACTTCATGGTATGCTAACCGCTGCTGGTTTAGCAAAAATTATGGATGATCTATTTCGTGGCGTTATTTATGCAGGTAAAAAGCTATATATTTCAATTATTAAATGCATATTACTAAAATTAAAATTTAATTATAGGTATTGATACTGATAAACACAAATATCCAATTGGATCTGGTCGTGTTACATTTAGTACAAAACATTCATATATGAAAGCAATTTCAGCTGCTTTTATAGAGATAAAAACTGCCAAATTTACAAAAAAGGTTTGTATAATTTTATAAAATAAATATATAAAATATAATATATAATATATAAAAAAATTCTAAAAGAAAAAAATTAAATAAATCTCTATTACTTTTATAGGTGCAAGTTGATCCGTATTTAGAAGATTCTATGTGTTCCGGATGCTCCGTACAACAAGGACCCTATTTTTGTCGTGAAGTGGTATGAAAAATATATTATAATTTTTAAACAAAAGATATCTTATTGTTTTTATTTTGTTCCTAGGTATGCTTCCGGTATTTCTGTCGCAGTTGCTGGCAATGGCAGCATTCGATGGAATCAATGTGGCACCATAAGCCTTTAATGCGTAATTCCAAGACAAATCAAGTTGTCGGATTATCACCAAATATAAATTCTTGGACCCGTGGAATGAATAATCCCACAATTTAAGTACAATTATTATTAATATACAATTGAGCTTCTCTTTCATGGTCACACATTCAATTTTTTTTGACTATTTGTTTTTGCACGGACGTTGTGCTAGCTGACTTACTGACAGGGTGCAAACTTAGTTTTTATCGCAGAGCTGCGGGCAGCTGGTTTGACGATATACTTTAAAATACCGGATATACCAGCTGATCGGCAAATGCAACGATTTGTTTATTATCGTTACTATCACGTACGTCCGCGGTATAGAGACTAATTAATAGATAAAAATCGTGTTTCATATAAAGTTCCTATTTCGAACGCGGCCACCACCACGTTCTCAACAAACAGTATTTTTATTTAGTATGTTTATTTAGGGACTGGTTCTCTTGTTAATCGTTTTATTCCGAAGAATATAATTGTGTCATTGAGTAACACATCACATTATATGATAATTATGCGTTACGAGTGTGCATTTACATTGAATTCGTGTGGGTCCAATTGTGGCTTTTATAGTGACAATAATTTTTATACGATAAAATGAGAAGCCACTCGATTGTTTAAAAAAGTAAAAAAGAAAGAGAGGAGGACTAAGCTTATAATGTTAAAGAAAAACCACAAAAATACAACACGCCGCTAAAGTAATCTATCGGCGAAATATTACGCTTAATCGTAAACTATTCGATGAGATTAGATTATTGTGGTATTCTAGCGGCAGGAGGAATTAATAATTTAATTATTATTATTTTTTTTGCGAAAAACGCATTTAATTTGAGTACTAATTAGAACCCAGGCTATATATCGACATTTGTCGATGATATTGCCCGTCGTTGTAGTTTTATGTTAGATTGTACAGTGTAAGGGGTATTGCCAATGGCCACTATAATCATAATTTATATTCTTAGTCAAAGCGGTAAGCCTTTGTGAGCTTTCGTTTAGAGGGACTGTTTAACTGTTGACGAAATGGAGAAGTACATGGTCTACGATTCTGGAGCGGATTGTAGTAAATTGATTCTGTTTTTATTTTTTGTTACGATATTATGTTATGTATTTTCTTTCAACAAGATTTCGTAATATTACTTCTAATCGCGTTTCTGATGTTTTGATATCATTTTGTTGAGTGAATTAAAAATCATATTTTTGCAGATAGACTTCCATTGTCGTTCCTCCTTTCTTGTTTCATTATTTTGTTCCTTTTCTTTATCGTTTGAGAAAATAATTCCTCCAAATGACCCTTCTGCCCTTTTCAAACTCCTGGCCTTAAGAATGTGTGCTTATGCAAACTGCTAGATATTAAATGTTATTATATCATAAAAATTTGATAAATAATATTAACAAAATCATAAGATAAAGATCAATTGATAGCAGAAATGATATTACATTATAACATTATTTTATATTTAATTTGTTTAACTTTGTTATTTATTTATAAATTAATTTAAATTATAGTATATTATTTAAACTGATTATGCATTATTATTCTGGTTAATAGTTGATTATCATATTCTGCTAAATAATTATGAATATTCTCATTATTGAGAGAAAAAAAATTATAAAAAGTTAAAATAATTATAATAAATCATAAATAATCAATATCAATAGGAATAAAATTAATTTTAATATTTGAAATTTGTGAAATTTGAAACTAAAAATTTGAAGTTATATTAAAAGTATAAACTGTTGCAATTTCTAATTTTTAGAAAATTCAAAACAGACATAGTATAAAAAGACATTATTGAAATACATTGTATATTTCACAATTAGTCTTTGTTGTCTATAGAAATTATGATTCATTTCATATTATATTAAAAATAATTGTAGATCATACGTTGTTAATGGTAAATGTTCCAAGATAGAAATATAAACTTAATTAAGATTTATAATTTAAAATTCATATAATCAACTGCAAGTTATACTACTATACTCTTTGAATTACTTACATATTGAAGGCAAGGATGAATTTATCATACTTCTCATATTTCTAAGTCATTAAAATTTCGCTTGGTTTAAGAAAGTGGAACAAATACAAAAAAAATATCGCGTTACATCAAATGCAATTATCAAACAACATGGTTATTATATATATAAGAAAATACTCCTATGAAGTGCTTTAATACAACATACAAGATAGTATATAATATATATATTATATTCTACAAAAGCTTCGAATATAATCATAAAGTTTTTAGTAAACAAATCAGTTTTTGCTAATGCCTAAGAATGGTTCTGAATAAACGAACGACAAAAACTCTTAGACTAAAAACTATCGAATTAACGGCCAAAAGATAATAAGCCGTCAGAAATTTTAAAGATGCTCTTTTATCGGAAATATTATCTTATTTACAAACTTTTAATAAGTCGTGCCTTTTAATATAATCTCCATAGATTTTATTCTAACGTGGAAAACACAAATTATTTTTAAATCATTGATAACCACGCGATACAGGGTGATCTATTATTAAAAAAACAAGACTGCTATTGGTACGCATAATGTCAAGCTTTCTTATCACTTTTAAGAGATTTAATCACTCGCGAGGCAATGATTACATCGTACCCTAGGTAGCAAAATATTTTTTTTATGTTCATAAAAGTGCCTCCTATTCTTTCACTTTTATTAATAATATAACGTATGTACATCTATAATTTATGAATATTGAAACTCGAGTAATTTGTAAAAACAATTCAATCAATAGTAAACTTATATAAGTACACTAATTAGCTTAAAATCAAATAAGCTTTTTCTTACAGAAAAATCAAAGAAAATCAATAATTTATATTGCTTTAGCTTTTTACGTATTACATATATCTTTGTTAAAACATACCTTGTAACACAAAATTGATATATTACAAACAATAAATAGTTCTTTATTATGTTAACATTATTGTACTACTTTGTAATATGAAAAATTATACGTTAAGTAATATGAAAAAAATTAAATAATTAAGATTTTTTTCTAATTCTAATTTATTTTATGTTTATTACATAATATTATATAAATTGACTAAAATAAGTAAGAAATATATTTAAAGTTATATTTAATAATATAATATTCTATTCTATTTAATATATAATATTTTATAATTTCTATCATTTTTCATTCATTTTTTAGTTATTATTAAAAATTTTTATGCTTTGCTTGTTTGTTGAAAGTTTGATATAAACCAATTAAAGATGATAAGGATCCAAGTAGTCCAATATGCCAAGTTTTTAACTGCCCAGCCCATAATATACCAGATGGCAAATAATTAACTGCGTAACTTATATCTAATATTAATCTTATACAAGTCAATAATTCATTCCACTTTTGTTTGTTTATTACCTTCAAAGTTAATCTATTTAAATAGAAAAAAAAAGAATATAACATACTATTAATCAAACTATAAATGTTTTTGTATTTAAATTTACCTTGTATTATAGTTAATTTCACTAAGATGAATTTTATAATTGTTGAATTTAATTTTTCGCAAAGACCTAAAAAACATTCATGCAAATAAAATATTCAAAGAATAAAATATTTAATATTTCTTTTTTACCATACTTTAATAATGACAATTGCAGAGATATTATCCAAAGCCATGTTGAAGCATTATCCCATATTTCGTTATTGATTTTAATTAATTTATGTTTGCCTGCCCAAAAAATATGTTCTATTGGACAAAATATGATGTCTACTAAAATCTGTATTAACTCTGCATATCTGATCAACCAATCTGATTCCTATTAGATGACATATAAAATTTATATATACCTGTAGAAAAATAGTAGAAATCTATATATTATATAAATATATAAACAGAAATTGAACTATGAATTTGTCAAATGATCTCTTATGTTATAAATATAATTTTATTAATATACCTCTTTTTCCCATTCATATTTCATAGCATAATGAATCATTGGTATATCATTTAATAATCTTAAAATCATTCTACATTCATTTATTTGATTACTAAATATTTTTAACTTTTTATTTGTTTCATTTGAAGATATACCCAATGTGGCAAATTTTGCCATATAAGATAATGTTCTTAAAAATTTGTCTCTTCCTTGATATGTTTCCAAATATTCTGATATTAATGCAATATTCATTTTTATATAAATATATTTAAAAATATAGTAAACTACAATAAAAAAAAATCGATTGAATCAAATATTTATTAAATTATATTAACAGATTAAATAAATATTAATTTAAAAATAAATTTATAATAATTTTTTATGAAATCGATTATATAAATACTTTAAATATATCCAAGTAACTAATTATATATATAATAATAATAATTATAATATTAACTATAAAAAAATGAAAACTTAATAAATACTACAAGTAAGTTTTCTTATATAAATATATACATATATATATTAATTTATTAAAATAAACTATAAATTGTCTTACGATTGAATGCCAAATTATATTGTGAAAATAATTTTCAGTAAATTATTTGATCTTTTTTTTTCTTTATTAAAAATATTTTAATTTTTTAAATTTGATATATGATACAATATTGAAGTAAAACAAAATGAGTTTCTATTTTTCTTGTTTGTAGTTGTATTGTAAATATTAGGACATAAGCAGTCGATAAAGAAGAACTCGTTTTATTTATCATAGAATTACCAAATATTTTATTTCGAAAAATTAATATTTAGAATTATATATATATATTATAATATATTTCTATTTTAATTATTTTAAAAATATAATTTTGATTGTCTTTTTTTTTCTTGTTTTTATAAGAAATTAACTTTATAAAAATAAAAAAAATATTAAAACTAAATTTTTAATTGAATTTAATAAAAATTAATATATACTTTTTTAAAATATTTATTCAAATATAATTTTTAATATTTAATATTAAATAAATAATTATATTAATAGTTAACACAATAAAAAATATATAATACTAGTAACATAATAGCAAATAATAGAATATGTAATAATGGTAGTATATATATTATATTATATTACATAAGTTTAAAAAATATTTGTTAAGAAGTTACAAAAAATAACATTTTTTGCAATAATTAACTTTTATAAATAGTATAAAAATAAATATACAATCGTATAAAAATAGAATAAAAAATATTTTTATAAATTCTAATATTTAAAATATTTTATTGCATTATTTTTTTTATTAAAAATATCTTTTTCATTTCATAGATTATTTATTTTTCACATGTTTATTATTAAATTTAGAGTTTCTCTTCTACATATGCAGTAAGTCTATGTCGAGAAATATGGAGGGGGAATTGTCTTTTCAAAGCGTCGTGTGTTCATATACTGATTCACTGTTGATTTCGAGCCACGATCCGTAAGAGTGTCTAAAGTTGAATCTGAAAGTGTATCTGATATCTATTTTATTTATTGTTATTTTTCTTTCTTGTAAATTTTTTTAAGTTATCTCATCTACCAATATGTGTAAATAATAGCGTATAAAAAGCAATGCGATAATTTATATTCGATCAATTTGATATTGTTTTAATGTGATTTAGTGGTGAAAAAGATATTGTGGTGTAATGGAAGGAAAAAAAAGATAATAGAAGGGAAAAGAAAAAGAGAAAGTGCATTTCATTTTGGGCCTGCTAGTGGACTCATCATCAATAAGGCTATCTAGCAGGCCCGTGTCTTAAACTTTGGGATGTAGAAGCCAGATTAAGGGATATATTTGTAAAAAAAGATAGGCATGTGTTTGCAAGAATTGTGTTTCAGTGTAAATCCCTCTGGTGGCGAGTATAGAAGGGCCGCTTGATTATAGTTAAGATATTTCAGTTATCGGGTTTAATTCTTTTAGAAATGTTAATACAACATAAAATTGACAGTGAGATGTAAAAAAAAAAAAAAAAAATTAAGTGTACTATTACTTTTTTGAAATACGATGAATGTGTAAACTTAAACTGATTTGCAGCAAGCATGTTTGGACAGTATTGAATAATTGTGTAGTTTATTGTTCTAGACTGGTCATGTAGAAACTGTGTGTCTGTTGTGAAATATTTAAACAATTGGTATAGTGGTCCATTGCAGTGATGAGTGTAGAATTTAGTGCAGTTATACGATTAGTAATTGAAAAAATAAACAACGAAATTTATAAAAAAAATTGAAGCAAAAACAAATACATGAAATATATATGAAATATCTCCTTGAAAGAAATAGCATTCAGAATTTACTGTTATATTAATGAATTCTAACAATTGCAGTCACAAAAATTAAAACAAAAAAAATAATATCTGTCCAGAATTAATAAATATTTAATATCCAATAATAAATACATACATAATTAAAAAAAGAATTAATTTCGCGGTTTAATAACTTAAAATATTTGACTGGAGAGGGATACTGTGGCAGTGTTTCCATACAGAAATTACTAGCTAGTAACTTCCGCTAGGTAGCGCTGATGTGAGAAGAAACTGTACGCTAACGAGTTTGCCAATCTTAGAGAAAAGATATATCCTGTGTGCTAGAGGAGACGCTCAGATTTTAGAGAGTCCTAGAAAAGAGTAGTCACGTTTGAAATCGGGTGTTGCAATATCATTGTTATAATTATTAACGTTATTTTTAATAAATTTTTATTATCTTTTTTTTGTCATGTGATAGTGTATATATATTATTAACCTCTGCTTATGGGCGGCTAATCATATTATTTTGAGAATACAAAGACACTAGAAAAGAGCGCTATTTACGAACACGCGCAAGCCGCCATAATACCATGTTCCGCTGCATTCCAATTTTTAAAGGATGTAACAGGCAGGTGGAATACATTGACAAGCGTCATTGCTCTCTGCCGTGCGTCCCCGATGATATTTTACGATACTCGAGAAGTTTGGAGGAGCTTCTACTGGACGCGAATCATATTCGTGATCTACCGAAGGTAAACAAATACTGCTACATGCCAACTTTCTGTCTTATAACCGTATATCTTTTTCTTTCTCTGCCCCTCCCCTACATCATTCCTCTTTCTCTCTCCCCCTTCTGTCTACTCCCCTCTCTCTATATCTCTCTTTTCCTATTGCTATTGTGTTCATGACGTATCATTCCATCAGCTATAATGTAACTAAGAACGACATAACTGATAATATTTTTATTTTAATTATTGCTTTTTTTTTTTAAACATTTATTGTTATTTTTTTTCATTTCAGAATTTTTTTCGGCTACAGAAATTACGAAAACTCGGCTTGAGTGACAATGAAATTCACCGTTTGCCTCCAGATATTCAAAACTTCGAAAATCTCGTGGAACTGGATGTATCCAGGAATGGTGAGTGATTTTTTTTATTATTATTCTGTTTTTAATCATTTTGCGGTTTTGTGTTTGGAGATTATGATAGAAAACTTGATATTCATCGTTTCGATAGATGTGAACATTTTTTTTAGATGCTTTTTTCCTTCGTTTTTTCGATTATTTTCTTTTTTATATGGTTGATCAACAAACAGCTTTTATCTACAGCTTCAAATGAAACACGTGTATATGTGGACGACTGTCAATGAGAGTTGTGAATCGAAAGTGTAATAACGCGTACAAAGAGATTGAATAAAGAGAAGTAGAGTTGAACGAAATGAACTATTAACAGAACTTCAATTTGGACGTTTGTTACACATTTGAGTTGGATAAACTATGAAATAGCTATACTTGTCGAGTATTGTAATAAGATAGTTTTTGAGCAAATTACTATTAGATTAAGATAATACTTTTTTTACTTACAATCAACTATAATAACGATGTATCGATCATAATAATGATAATGATTATAGTTGTTTTATATCATTATTATAATTTTTTTTTTTAATAATTTCAAGTATCATTATTATAATTATATACAAAATATATATATATATATATTTATATATAATTATTTAATAATATATAAATTTATATTATTTAATATATTCTTCACAAAATGCAATTTTGATGAAAAAAGTAAAATGTCGATATAGGATTTTGCAATCGATGTAATATCAGATCTTAATTAATTCTTTTTCTTTTCATTTTATTATCAATTCAATGTTTCTTTGGATTCAATAATTGATTCATGAAGATAGAAAACAGCGTTTCGTTTACTTTCTAACGATGCAGAGATTCGTAGCTCGAAAGGCGCGTTGAAACGCGTTTTTTTTACTCTCGTCTCGAAGTTGTTTCCCAAGAGGGAAGCCTTTCCTTTCTCGCTGTTCGCTAGATTTACTTACCGTTCCACTTTGGCATTTTTATGTTTACCTTATGCTTGTCTCTCACCACCCGCATATATATATAAGAAACTTCATTACTTTACACGTAACATAACAGCTAAGTAGAAGGAATGTAATCGCGAATGATTCGTTTTACCTTTTCTTCTTTTATTTTTTTCTTTTTGTCATTAAATACTTTGCAACACTTGTAATTTAATGTTAGTGTCGCTTTATTGAACATTTTTTTCTCAGATATGAAAACGATTCTTATTTTCTTCTACAATTACACAATAATAATTATTTTTTAAATCTTCTACAATAACAGTTATTTTCTTCTTTCTGTAAGAATTCAAATGTAAAAAAATAATATTGAAAGAATATATAAAAAATAATTTTGATTTGATACAAAATATTTTATATTTTAAATTGTATTTGATATTTTTATATATATCATTTGATATAAGCCATTAGTTTTCAATAATTCATTTCTTCATATTTATCATATGTGAAATTAAATTTTTTATATCATTTCTTTTCATTTTTTCTTATCGTATATGATATAGACATAGTATAGAAATACGCTTATCATATTTTCATATATTTCAAATTGTATTTATAATAAATGTTAATTTATGTTTTCTTTATAATATCTATATAATACATATAATAGAATTTATTTATAATTTCTTTTAAACAAGAGAAATCTTTTAAACAATATCTATGTAAATGTAATTTATTCTACGGTAACATGATCATTATCATCATTAATTTATCGTTATATTATAAATTTTGGATAAATAAATAAGGAATTAGGCAATATTTTCTTTTTTTCCCGTTTATATTTCAAAAGATGTAATGAAAATTAAACCAAAGATAATTTTTTCGCATAGTTATATTTCCTGATGTATTTTCGTTATCAATAAACGCGTCATGTATTCATTTATCGCGTGAAATGAAATTTTGATTAATGTTAAAGCAAAAAAATAAATGTCGATCACCATTATTTTTTCATAATTCCATCTTTTAGCATGTAATGTAGTATTTTGTCATTTGTCATTGTTGATTTATTTTCAATATATGCAAGTAACAAATAAAATATATTTTAATTTAAATTTTTTTCTACAATAATCATTTTCGTTTAAGGATTATTAAGATTAATAGATCTACATTTATGATATATTTAAAAAAAAGTATATGTTTTATAAAAATATATGTTTGTTTTAGAATAAATTAATGATTAAAAGATAAATTATACTAAAATGATTATATAAACGTATTCTTTTAAAGAATATATTGTTGAACGATTTTTATCATAAACTTTCACTAATGAGGCCTATTGTTAAAATAATTTATATAACTGATTAAAATTCATTAGACTATTTTTTTTTTTTTTAGATAATAATCGATTTATTATTACATTTATATAGAATTCTATATATCCAATTTCAATTTTTAATTCCAAATGTATGTTCTTTATAGTTTCAATATTAATTAAAATATTCGATTTATTTCATTAATTTATTTAATTCATTAATCAATAATATACAAATATTAATAGGAAATGATAGGAACATTTAACGGTATAAATCAAGTCAACAGCATTTTTAACCGAAACGATTGAATAATGAATAAAAAAAAAGAAAAAAAAAGAAAAAAAAGCAGAAAAAATTTTTTTCGAACAATACTGAAGTGTATAATAAGCGACGGTATTATTGTACACGCTGTAAAATGAATTCTTTTGTTCGCAATGAAAGTCGAGAGTTGGACTTCCAGCCAAATAAAACGTTCTGCCAGTTTTGCGTCATATCTCAATCTTCATGATTCTCAAAAACGAAATTCAAAGCAACTTTGTTGCTCACTTTTCTATGTCATAGGCTTTCTTCATTAATTTCTTTTTGATTGACAGCCAATTGAACTTTAAAATTGTTTCTTTGTAAAAAGGTAAAACATAATTGTCTTTCTTTTTCGATCATTGAAATTCCTAAAATTCTTATATTATTAATAATGAATTAATTAAATTATAATATTATAAATACAAATTTTCAATTCCTAAAAAAGAATTTGAAAAAAGAAAGGAAAAAAGATATCTCGAATATACGGAACAGATAGAAAACTAAATAAAGGTTATAATATTTATCCAAATTTTCGATAGATATCATATCGATCGATTGTCTACGATTATCATTATATTATAAACGAAAATAAGGGAGTAAACAAATTCTTGGAACTTCCTTTAATTATAATATTAAAATACATACATTAATTGATAATAATTAATATTTTGTAAAAAATTTAATGTTGCATTGTCCCTTAATAGGCGAATAACGAATAGGCCAATTAATTTTATCTATTCTCGACTGAAAATATAATAAAGTCATTTGCGAATGCAATATATTGTGAGAACTCTTTCAAAATCCAATCAAATCGATTGACTTTTCATCTTTTTTTCCCCAGTAATTTATTCAACAAAGAATTTAATCGCTGTTAAAATAGTTGAGAGACCTATTGATCGGAATGACATTTTCCATTATTAGAAGGATTTGTCGTTCTCGATCGGTCCCTCCTTAGTTGTGTCGATCGATGCCTTCCTCTTCAGGTTCAGAAGGATCGAGGAAATTATCGACTCGAGAAACAATAAAAGAATCGAGCCCACGTACGAGCCAATAGGACATTTTTCTACTCCCTTTATTCTTTCTCTACCGTGTTCTTTATCGAACGAATATTATGTCTGTCTTCAAAAGGATGCTCTTTTATCGTCAGCCATGACGAGTATAGATGAAAGATCTGTGTCGGTCAACGACATGTACTATTGCTTTCCATACGAGACCGGAACTGGCGTTCACCGAATATAGGCCATTCGAAGTTATTGTGTCTTCGATGAAGCACGGTTAATTCGATATCGGGTCGCACACTAATTTTCACGAAATGTGATAAACTGGGTCTCCGCCATGAGAAACGATTCATGCGTCGTTCGGTTAAGTGGGTCGATCTTCTGTGGGATTAGGCGGTTCCAGGATTGCACCGCGTGAGAATTAACACGAACACTGGCTCTGTTTCCTGGGAAAGAAAAGAGGCTTTACGTGGCATGATTTTAACGTCGGGGAAAGAGCCAGGTGTCGAGTTGAAAGGTTTATGTGCCGTGAATCGTTAGAAATTTGATTTTATTGTTTATTTCTTTTTTTTAAAGATGATTTTAAAATGGACATTTTCTAACGTTCGTTTTTTTATAATCATTAGTTTTTTTTTATTATTAAAGATAATATATTTCGTCGATATGTTTCAATATTTCAAAAAAATATTTCTATTTATAAGATAAGAGGTTGTAACGGGAAACATGTAAAATTTAGTTACGCAAATATTAGGGAAAAAATTGGAAGTAAAAAATATCAAATGCTACTTGCTTTCAATTTCTCATTCAGTATTTTTATTAGAGAACTTGTGAAAATTTAATTATCTTTTCGTGACGTTAATAAATTTATGCTCGAAAAGGTTAATACTGAATGATGAAGAAAAAGAAATTCTAAAATTAATTTTCGAAGATTCTCACGATGCTTGTCTCTTAATAAAAGAATTTTTAAATTCTTTTAAAATTTTCAAAGATATGTTGATAGATCCAATCGTAAACATAATTTTAAAAATATTCTGCAACATACAAATAACTTTTGACCAATTTTACGTCAATAGTTAAGTATGTTAAACGTACAGGAACTTAAGTATGCTTCTTTTAAAATCACTTCACCATGTTCTATTTTGCCGATCACATTCTTCCTGAATAGACGGGACTGCTGAATAGCACCTGAAAGAATAGGGGTAGATGATGAGATCCGGCTGTCTTTTAAACTGATAATATCTTCTCCCTTAAGATTTGATATAAAGCTTAATGATTTTCATGTTGGAGTTATTTTTTATCGGAGTTCTTTCCTCCCCTCCCCCATGTTCTTAAAATATATGAAGATTTAAAGAAACATTGTCTGAATTTATGTCTGTTTTGCACAATGTTTAAGTTTGATGATGTATTGGGTGCTTCTGAAATATTGGACACCTGAATGAGCGATAAAGCTGTTTGAGAAGCTGATCCTCCAGTTATTTTGAGCT